TTTAGAGTTAATATGGATGAGACGGAAGGATTTTGAGATGAAATTGGTATGTGCCCAAAGGTCCCGAGCATTGCCACTGCCAAACCTCAGATGCGAGAGCTTCCGGGGATGTGGCAGAGCCGTGTGTCTCCTCCGGCGATGCTGCGGCTTCGAGTCGCTGCAGGTCTGAAGTTGGATGGTCAAAAAATGCTGCTTGGCCGGCACGTTAACTCATGTTAATGTAGAGCAGCTGTCTTGGCTCCAGCACTTGCGATAGTTGTTTTTTTCTATCAAAATAGATGGGTTTTTTTCAGCATAAAGATGTTCTCCAGTCCTGCGCGTGCGTTGCCCATCCCTGCTGTGAATCGTGGCCGGCATGCGCGGTTCCTGCTGCAAGGGTGGGCTGGCGTGGATCCGTCCTCGCTGCTCGTGTCTTGGAGCCTCGAAAGGGAGGATCTGCAGGAGAGTCCATGAAAATGGAGCCAGAGCCTTGGTTCCCTCGTGGGATGTTTATTGGGGGGGGGTCTAGAGGTTGGACCCATAAAGAAGCGGGCGCTGTTGGTTGTTTAGAGTGGGGTCGATTTGATGACTGAATTTACTGCGCCGTCCCATGCTAGTGGGGATGCAGGAGTGGGACCAGGCAGGCCTCCGGAGGATGCCCATCATGTACGGCCATGAAGTGGTGGGGAGCCCCTGGGAACGAGCCGGGGGAGAGGGGGGAGATGCTCGAGCTGGCGGGATGCTGGAGCCAGCCTGCCCAGGAGCTGCCCGCTCCCCCCATGGTGCCTGCTCAGGTTTGCTGGCTGTAAAAAGGTTAAAGAAGTTATTTCGTCCCCCCGTGGGATCATCCGTTTCCCCTCGGCACCCCCTCGGCACGGGCAGTGCCCTCCCTGCCTGCTCCTGCTATCCGTGGTTTCTTTGGGGAGCTGCGGCACAAGTCGGTGATGGTGCAGCAGGGCCGGGCGGTGCCGCCCGCGGCGTCGGTGGCTTTTTCTGACCGTCTGCCACCATCTCAGCCTCTGCTTAGAGCCAAGACCCCGCTGAGCATCTCCTCCCCTGGCAGCGCTGACGCCAGTTGCCTCCTTCTTCTGCAGGTGGTGGTGCAGCTCACCGACGACCTCCTGTCCCAGGCGGGGGTGGTGGGGGAGGACAGCAGGGGGGGGGGCCAGCCGGCCGACACTGGCCATCAACCTGGCCGGAGCCCGGCAGCACTGGCTGGAGGGGATGCTGCGCCACGAGATAGGTCAGCAGGGCGACGGCGGGGCAGAGCCAGGGGGGATGCTGTGAGCATCCTCTGGTTGTCACCGGGGTAACGGCCTAGGGGCTGCGGGGACCGCGGGGCAAGGTGATACCCACCGGGTCCTGCAAGGAGGCATCCTGGAAGGGTGCTCCTGAGCAGGTTTCGGAAGGGGCTGAGGCCACCCGGGGTCCCTCTCTGCGTTGTGGGGCAGGGGGTGTCGGGCACCCACCCCATGCACTCGTGTGCCTGCCCTCCCCCCCGCCCCGGGC